ACACACACACACACGGCACACACGCACGCACACACACACACACCACACAACAACACATTTAAGAAAAATAAAAGCATACCACCTTATTATTATATTGTCCTTGATATAGTTGAAAACAGTTTGAACCGATAAGATAAAATCACAACAAATAAAAAGCTATTATTGCTACGATGTTAAAAGAATTAACAAAATGCAATAAAAAAAACACACACACACAAATACGTGTGTGTGTGTGGGTGCGTCTGTGTATAATATATGTGTGTGTGCGTGAGCGCGCGCATATATATTTTACTCAGAGAATATTTGTTTATATACAATCATATAAATTCATATATATGTATTATATTATATATGTATATAATGCACACACACGCACACGCGTACACACACACACAGAAACACACATACGCACACAAATATATATATAGATATGTGTGTTTGTGTGTGTGCCAACTGTATACTTACATATATAGGTATGGATGTTTATGTGTGCATACTGTATAAATAAATATACACATATATACATATTGATCTAAATGTATATATGAATTCTGTGAGTTCGTATATATATACATATATATATATATATATATATATATATATATATATAATGTCGTGTATTCAAAATATGTGTGAAAACTGTATATAAACATATATGAAGTGTATATATGCATATATGAGTGCCAATACATATATATAGCATGTATGTATATACAGACACATGTGTAGATCAGACCGTGTTCATTGTGACAGATGTAGAAAAGGTATTAATGAGAAGGAATATCTTCACAGTGCAAGAGAAACAGGTATTTCCGACGAAGATGTAACCGATAAGATATTCATTTTCCTTAAAATTTTACAAATGTATATATACTGTACACATAAACAAACACATATATTGATAATGACATTCGTAATCAAACACACAGGACAGAGAAAGGAAACACGTCTTGATCTCTCCGAGAGCTGGCCGGCCCAAGGATACCTTTCACTCTAATTATTCACTTCCAGAAAATGCTCATTTCTTTTCCACTCTTTCGTATTTCACTCATTTTCCTTTCTCTTTGCTACCATAGCGATAATATATGTAGTATAAAGAAACTACACACACATGGGAGCACTTACATTGATCTACGAATGAAAATGAAATTACTCTCACGGTTCGGTTGTGCTGCTGGGGGAGGAGGGGGAGGGGAGGAGGGATACAGCTACCTATATAAAGACGCCCATCATCACGGTCGCTACAGTTCGAAGGCACCGAGAGCTGAGAGTAGAAGCATGGCTTTCCGATACTTGGTGAGTTCACTATTATATTCTGAGATATATTTACATGCACACATGAGTGTTGGTGTGGTGTTGATTAGTGCGCATACGAAATACTATGTATACAACGGATGCAAGCATCATTAATATGAATTCATCTAAGCATATTGCTTTTTCAGATTTCGCTGTCTTTGGCAGTCGCCGTTCTGGCCGACCAGACCTCACACGTCAGCATCAGTCTCGGCGGTGCTCCTGCTGTCACCCATCACAGTTCCTCTCACCACGCAAGTCCTTCATACCACCATCAACCTACCTACCACACTCAGCCTTCCTACCATCCACAACCTTCCTACCACCCTGCTCCCGCTTATCACCCACAGCCTTCCTATGAGCATCAACACCAGCCTGCTGTGCCAGAATGTGCTGCCAACACAACCAAAGCTTGGTGCCTCGAGGACGACCACTATCCCACCTACGAGATCAAACACGCAGCAGAGTACCACTACGAGAAGCTCCTCTCCCTCTATGCTGACGTAGCCGACCTCAACACCGAGCTGTCTGTCGACCGACCAAACACCCTGGAGGAGGAAACTTACTTGTGCCCATCAGAGACCGCTTACGTCAGGCCCCTTCGTGCCCTGAACACCGAGGGAAAATGGCGTGTCGTTGTCAACAATATCGATGCCCATTATCAGACTCTCACTCAGACTACACGCATCGAAGAGTGTCTCACTTCCGCCGATGCATGTCCTCTGGTGCCTGAGTGCTACGAGTCCAAGTGTCTGCAGAAGTCCGTCTACCACCGCTTCCTTGTCTACGACTCCTATGATCAGTACTTCCCTTCGCCATCGAGACCTTCAAGCTTCCCGCCAGCTGTGCTTGTCTCTTGGGCGCCTACACCATCGACCATTAGTCACCAAACACTTGATCTCAAGCCACATTAGGGGGTAAATGAATGAACATGTTTAGCAAACGCAAGTGCGAGACATCGTTCATCTCGGTAGAAACGATAACTGTTTGCATAGAACATCGAATTCCCCGCCTTATGAAACATGAAAATAAATATTATTTTACGTAATTCATATTTGAATTTCCCTTCGCATATGCATATCTTTGAATTCAGGAAGCATTTATCATCAGATGTTTGTTTATATTGGCATTGTTTTTATTTTTTTAAGAATTTTATAGTAAAAGTCTATTTAGGATTCATTTAAAGTTCTCTTCTACTCGAAAACATCTTTTACATCTGACGATCTAAAAACTAAAATCTAAAAAGATATTCTCACTTCTATATATAAACGCACAAGCATTTATGT